GTTTGAACTGCAGTCGGCAGTCCTATTCCCTAAACCACTAGCAATGAATTGGCTCTTGTTATTAAAGACTGAAGAAGATCCAACAAGGTCTCTCTATCTTTATTTTTTGTTTATTTATTTACTTCTTCCATGAGAGAGACAGAGAGAGCACCCCCAATAAGGTCTTGATGCCATGATCCACCCCTAGCTTCAGCCAGCCTGCTGAGTGTGCATGTGCTCAGGACACTCACGAAGGTCTCTGGACACAAACCCGGAACTTCTCATGTGGGTCATCTTCGCTGAGCATCCTGTTTGACCATTGCGCCATCATTCAGCCCCCTCTGCTCTAACATTACCTAATTCTATTTGTGTCTCTTCATCTACTTCATTACACTCTCCAGACTTTGTACTTTCATGAGTTTCCTTATGAGAATTAAGCCAAGACCTCTGCCTCCTCTGCCTCCTCACCTGGAAAGCAACTCTGCCTATCATTTGTTCACTTATTTGCTTACTTTCAAATTTATTCATTGAAAATTATGTATGCATCCATTTACTTGTTCATCCATCCATTCATCTGTGCATTCCGTAAACAGTCCTGGACCAGCATTAGCTAGGGACTGACCTGTGAAGATGGATCCCTGGCCCAGAGTCACTTTCTCCAATTCTTCCATACCAATTATGATTCTAAATAGATTCTGTATAATTGGGTCTTAGGGACATCATCCCTGAAGCACCCCAAAGTTTCCAAGCTAGGCACATTTTCCTCCTTGCCCTCTAAATTGCCTTAGGGATCACACAGTCCCTTGGTGCACCGGGAGCTTTGAAAAGTGCCACCTACAACTGGCTGCCTGCTCCCCCAGAGGCTGTTGGCTGGGATGGAGCTGGGTGCTGCTCCGGTCAGGGAGTACCTGGCTGCCCACTGTAAACTACTGGCCACTCTGTTCAGCCTTAACCCCCCACCCAGAATTTTCTAATTCTACCAAACCTGACCCACTTCAGAGAACCCCGCTGAATTCTAAGCATTTCATAACATTCTACCAAATTCTAAACTTTTCCTTTATTTTGATCAAGTTGCAAACCCTTCAATAAAAATCTAGGCATGGTTTCAATTTGGAAAGCAGGGTCAGCCTGAGCCTGTGTTCTGCCTACTGAGATGGCCTGCACTGAGGAGGTTTAGGCTTGCTTCTTTGACCTGTGTGTCTCTCGCTCCAGCCAGAGCAGGTCTATGGTCTCAAACCCTCTGAAACACCTTCTTTCTAGGGACCCGGGGGCATGGATCTAGAAAAGCCTGGAGGTAAGTGAGTAATGGAAATGTGGAAGCAGGGGAAGGAGTCAAAAGGTCAGAAGAATGACAGGGGCCTTGGCTTCCCCCGTGGCTCCCCACACCGCCTTCCAGAGGTCATGTCATCCTACCCAGCCATCTAAAGCTCTGACCACAGGTCCCAGGCTCTGCACTATAAGTTCTCTCTCTCTCTCTCTCTCTCTCTCTCTCTCTGTGTGTATGTGTGTGTGTGTGTGTGTAATACAGAAGAAGTGAGAATGTCAGTGCCTATGCACATGTATGCACATATACACACACATGCACTTACATATGTACCCGTATGTCCAACAGGTGTCTATGCAGTGACCTTATGTGAGTGTGTGTATATTCCAACAGGTAGACAAAGCCTGTATGTGTTTCCAAGTGACTTTAGGGGAAAGTTGTAAACTGTGTTGCTGAGCAAGCCCCTTCCTTTCTCAAGGAAGTTAAAAGCCCAAATATGACAGAGGGGTGGTCTAGCTGATCTGGACAACTCCACCCAAGCTGTCCTCTAGGCTGGGAATGGATCATGTCTAGCAGCCAGGGAACCACAGCATGGCTGGGAGAAGTTGACCGTGGCCAACCTGGGGGCGAGGAGAAGAAAGAGGTGGCATCCCTGGGCCAGCAGGGATAGGCAACAGGCGGGAAGTGAGAGAAAGAAGTGAGCATCACCTAGAGGTGCACAGAGCCTTACGGCACAGATTAGATATGGCCTGAGAGGAGAAAGGAGGGTTCCCTGGCAGGGATGCTGTTTGAACTGGGGTTTTGTTTTTTTGTTTGTTTTTTGTTTTGTTTTGTTTTGTTTTGTTTAGTAGCACAAGCCAGGAGAGAGAAGGCAGAAAAGACATTGTAGGCTCTGCAGACAAAGCTTCCTGGCCCTGCTTTGGGAACCAGAATCCCGCAGCATCTAGCCATCCTTTCCCTCCTCTCCTCTCCCAGGCTGCACGTCCCAGCTGGAGGAGAAAAAGCAGCACAGGAAAGAGATTCAGATCCCTGGCACATAGTGTGGGAAGCAGACAGGAGAAGAGATTGTTTGGAGACCTGTCCCTGCTGTGGGGGTCTCTTGTCCTCCTGGCTCATCAGAGGCAAAGTTTGCTCCCCGTCCCAGGGCTGCTCCTTCTCAGGTGAGACTTGTACAGCCCTTGCCCCACCATGGTCTCCACACACCTCCTCCCAGGGATTATGTCATCTGCCTCGTCCTCTGAAGCCCTGGCTACAAGTCCAAGGCTTTGCACTACAGGTTCTGGGGATGTGAGTGTGTGTAAGAAAGAGCCAGTGAGAGTGTCTGGTCACTCACGTGAGTGACCACACATGTACACACATACACACACATAGGCATGTGTGTATGTACCAGATTGTGCATGTACACATAGGGTGTGACGTGACCCTATGTGAGTGTATATACACTCCAACTAGTAGCCTATAGCTGCAAAGGGTTCTGAGTGACTTTAGGGGAACTCTGCAGAGCAGAGGCTGCAGCCTGGCCAGTCACTGGGACTTCACAGAAAACACGATGCTGCCTCTGTGCCTTGCCCCAGCCAGCACTGTGCCTGCCTCTGTTGGCATGCTGTTAAATGGGGCTACCCAGCCAGGAATCCAGGCTCAGAGTTTCCCAACTGAATCTTCGAGGGAGTTCACAGCTCACACTCCATCTGACTCCATGTGACATCGGCGAGACCTCTTATCCAAGGACTCCTATCCCTAGGACTAGCTCAGAGACCTCCTAGCCGCCAGAGAGGTAGGACCTCAGTGGGCAGGGCTAACTCCACACCCTGTGTTTACACCATGTGAGAGGGAGTATACCCATGGGACACTCAGTCTGAAACCTTGATGGGTGCTGGAGGCCCAGTAAAACCCTCCACTTCAGGGAGGGTTCTGTGACCCTTCAAGTGGCCTGAAGGCAAAAAGGAAGAGTATGTACTGAGGGATGAGCTTCCTGACTTTAGAGAAATACAAACAGAAGCAAGACGAGGCTAGGCACAGAACAGTGGAGCCCTGGGAAGGGTTTAGAGTCAGTGGCCAGGAGCTCATCTGTCCTCGCCTGTTCCCAAAGGCCTGGCACAATGCCTGGCATATAGTAGACTCTCAACCACTTCTCAATTTGAGAATGGATATATGAAGGAGTAATAAAAGAAGGAAATGTGTTGTATGTAAGTGAGGCACAGAAAACAGGCTCAGTTCAGGCCTAGGTTTTGGCAGTGTGTCCCATGGGAACAATGGCACCAAGTCACATACCCTGAGACACTAAGGAGAGGGCTGGAATATGTTCCTTACCTGACAAGGATTGTGGGAGGCTGCAGGGGCAAGCTGTCTATCCAGTGAAGTAGGATAGCCAACATTTAGGGCTTGAGGAGTGCAAACATCTGCTCTGAACGTGGTGTGGCTGTCACACCATTGGGAGGACTGGATTCAAGACTCGCCTCACCAGAGACCCACTCTGTGGCCTCAGTTTCTCCACCTGCACAAAGAGATCGCCAATGAGTTGACTTCTTAGGGCTAGTCTCAAGCTAATGTCCTGGGAGTCATGAAGCCAAAGGAGCCCTAGAAAATAGCCCAGGCTCTGGCCTGGAGAAAATAGGAGTTTAAGGCTGGGCCAAGGGGCTCATCAAGATTTCCAGAAGGCCCACAGTGAACACAGATTCTGAACATTCCATCCGTGCAAGGTAGCTGATGAAGCAAGCCCTGTGGGAGGACAGGTGATTGCACTCACTCATAGGCTCACATGCCAGCTGCTTCTCCATGCAAGGTACAGTGTTATGCTTTGTGCGTGGGGACCAGAGCTTGAAGAAACAAGTCAGACTTTTGCAGGTTGAGGAATACAGGAAAAAGGCATTGCGGACAGTGGGGATAGTGCAAGCATGGCTTACTTAAAGCCAAGAGGACTTTCAGAAATCATCCATCCTAGTGGTTCTCCAAGCGCGGTGCCTGGGCGAGCCGCTGCAGCATCACCTACACCTACTGAATCAGAAACTTTGAGACTGGAGCCCCACACTCTGTGTTTTAAAAAACTTTCCAGGTCATTCTTGTACATGCTAAGGATTGAGCACCTCTTATTTGGTCCACTGCATTTCCAAACTATGTTCGTAACACTGATGTACAGAAAATTAATGAGTTGTCTTTGAAGAGGGGGGGTCCATGATCAAATAAGTTTAGGGAGTACATGCTCTATTCTGCTTTAGAGAGTCAAAAATTACATTAGCTTACTAAAGTCCCTGAGAAGTCCCGCAGTAAAAAAGCTTTTTTTATTTTTATTTTTTATTTATTGTTTTTAGAGAATTATTTATTTAATTTTCTTTAATCATTTATTTATTTTAATTTGACCAGAGAGAGACACACAGAGAGAGAGGGGAAGTGAGCAAGCAAGTCACCAGGTCTAGGACTCGAACCATAGTCAGCCATGTGGGAGTGTCCAGCGCCTTAACCACCATACCACCTGCTGGTCCTGAGCTTTGTTTTTTAATCAATCTGGTGTTGCCTCAAATTGATTTTTCTAATTGCCTACTAACATTTTCTTTCACATTCTCTTAGGGAGTTGCTGATCTAAAGCAATCCTCATTCTTCACATGGATAAACTGAGGCCTAAAGAAGGTAAAGAGATCACCCAAAGTCAGACAGAGTGTCAGAGCTTCCAAAGGCCCAAGTGACCCACCTCTTCTCCACCTCCCTGCACCCTCCCTCCTTCCTTCTATCCCAGCTGTATGCCCCTCCAGAACCCTGCAGCATGGAGCCACTCAACTGGACAGGGGTCTCTGAGTTCTTTCTGAAAGGATTTTCTGGCTACCCAGTCCTGGAGCACCTGCTCTTCCCTCTGTGCTCAGCCATGTACCTGGTGACCCTTCTAGGGAACACAGCCATTGTGGTGGTGAGCGTGCTGGACGCCCGCCTGCACACGCCCATGTACTTCTTCCTGGGCAACCTCTCCATCCTAGACATCTGCTACACGTCCACCTTTGTGCCCTTGATGCTGGTCCACCTCCTGTCTTCCCAGAAGACCATCTCCTTTACCGCCTGCGCCATCCAGATGTGTCTGAGCCTGTCCACGGGCTCCACAGAGTGCCTGCTGCTGGCCATCATGGCCTACGATCGCTACCTGGCCATTTGCCGGCCGCTCCGGTACCCAGTGCTCATGAGCCGCTGGCTCTGCTTGTTGCTGGCAGGAACTGCCTGGGTCCTCTGCCTCCTCAAGTCAGTGACTGAGACAGTCATCGCCATGAGGCTGCCCTTCTGTGGCCACCGCGTGGTCAGTCACTTCACCTGTGAGATCCTAGCGGTGCTGAAGCTGGCATGCGGTGACACGTCAGTCAGCGAGGTCTTCCTGCTGGTGGGTGCTATCTTGCTGCTGCCTGTGCCCCTGTCACTCATCTGCCTGTCCTACACGCTCATCCTGGCCACCATCCTGAGGGTGCCCTCGGGTGCTGGGCGCCGCAAAGCCTTCTCCACCTGCTCGGCACACCTGGCCGTAGTGCTGCTGTTCTATGGCACCGTCATCTTCATGTACATGAAACCCAAGACCAAGGAGGCCCGCATCTCCGATGAGGTCTTCACAGTCCTCTACGCTGTGGTCACACCCATGCTGAACCCTGTCATCTATAGCCTGAGGAACAAGGAGGTGAAAGAGGCTGCCAGGAAGGTGTGGGGCAAGAGATGGGCCTCTAGGTGAGGGCAAGCAGGAATCCAGGTGAGTAGGTGAGGTCACCTACAGTGAGCACAGGTGGGGCACAGGACCATGGGTCTGGTGTCTTCATCCTAGGAAAGTGCCGGCAGCACCAGGTCCCACTGATCCTACCAGGGTACTCAAAAGCACGCTCTGCTCCTGCCCCACCATCGCCATCGGCCAGCTCTTAGCATCACTCCCTGGGCCTTCACACCTCCTGACTGGTCTCAAGGCTTCCTTACAATCCATCTTCTATGGGTCACACAGAGGGATCTTTTAGAAAGTGATCACTTCACTCTTCGGATCAAAACCTGTAAATGCCACCCCTCACCCCTCGCCCACTGTTCTCAGCGAAGTGGAAGCCCTTCCATGGGGCATTTCAGGCCCTCCCAAATTGGCCCTGCCCACCCAGCTCCCCAGCCTCTGCCCATCCTAACAACAGCCAAACGTGGGCCTGGACACTCCTTGCACTGCCCAGCTCTGTGCTCTTTCTGGGTTCTCCCCACAAGGCAGCACCCTCCCGGCATACAACTCAGTGTGTCAAGGACTGCCTGACCCAAAGGCCCATCTCAGAAGCCACCTCCACTGCCCCACTGTGCCCTGCTGCTGTGTCCCTCCTGCGCTCTCTTTTCAGTGTTACTCTGAGAGCAAGGAGTGTCAGATTCCACTCTGTCCCAAGGCACAGCCTTGTCCAACTCCAGGCCTGGTACAAGTTTCTTAAACACATAAAGGGACACATAAATGTAGGAGAAACAATGACAGAGCCTGGAGTCCTCCCCAAATCTGAGCAGAGCTGGGATGGAGACCCAGACAGGCAAGGCCTAACCCCCCTGGGAAGGAATAGTAGCGACAGTGATGCGGCCCACAGTCTAAGATTCCCAGACCTATCTGGTCCTGAGACACCAATCTCCCGGGTAAGCCAGCGCCTGGAGACCTGTGCCTTTCCTGAGATTCTGTCCCCGCTTAGTGGCAGCTGCAGCAGCTTCCAGCACCCTTTGCCTGGCATCCAGGCCTCACCTGGCTTTGGAGAGGCTTGCACTACCCCTCCTCACCCGATCTCCTGGGACCCTGCCACAGCTGCCTCTTCCTGGTGTTCAACCTCTTCCCAGCTTTCCTTTCTGAGAACTCAGGGCAGACACCCAATGGAAACAGACTCAGATTCACAGAGTATTTCCATTCCTTGCTCAGCTCCAGCCTCAGGGGCATCATCTGTACAATGTGGGAGCTGGGCACGACTGCTAAGCAGCAGGTTCTCCCCTGTACCCTGGCTTGAGGGTACAGCCCCCAAGAGCCCTCAATTCCCCTTTCAGGCCTTCATCCTGCTTCCTATGTTGGTCAGCACAAAGGAGAGAAGCACAGCCTGAGAGAACGAGACACTCAAACCCCTCTGACCATACCAGAGTGAGGGCTGGAAGCTGCCATGATGTTCTGCTGAGCCTTGGATGCTGACAGAGGTTTCACCATTTTCCTGTGTTGCAAATTTACAGTCAGATTTACTTCTAGAAAGGTCACTGATCAGACTTCATTCTTCTACAAAATTGACAAAGAGGAGGCCAGTAGGTGGCGTAGCGGTTGAGGTGCTAAACTCACACATAATCGACTGAGGTTTGAGTCCCAGACCTGGCAGCTCACACAGGGTGCATGTGCATGCATGCCCACAATCCTGAGAGGAGCACGGAGAAGGGGTTGCGGTTAACCATCCCCCCGGGGGGTGATTTCTCTTTTTCTGTCTCTCTATCTCTCTCTGTCTCTCCCATGAGTACACACACCCTATAGCAAAAATCTCTCATTAAATAAAAGGTGGGGGGGGTGGCAAAGAAATTATTTTCCCTATAATGTCTATGTTAGCTAAGGTCCAGTGAAGTAGGCAGTGTGAAATGATCTGGCAGAGGTGGAAATGAATAGGAACTTCCCAGAGAGCCAGGTGGAAATCTCAAGAGCTTTAAAAACATCCAGACCCTTTGACCCAATACCTGTAGTTCTAGGAATATGGTCTAAGAAAATAATTTGAGATGTGGTCAAAGATTTACATCTAAGGATATTAATCACAGCTCTATTTATACTCACAAAAAATGGAATGCCCAAGCATAGAAAAATGTTTAAATAAATCCTGATGAAAGCCTAATGGTGGCACAGCAGTAAAATGCCAAGCTGTGTGAGCAAACCCACATGGTGAGTTTCCCAGTTCAAGTCCAGAGACCCTCTCTGAGTACCCCAGACACACACATACCCATCATGCAGGGGTGGCTGAGGCTAGGGGAAGATCATAGCAGCAAACTCTGTTAAGGGTGCTGTCTCTGTTTCTCTTGCTCATGAAAGAAATAAATCAGTAACTTAAAAAGATGTGCAACTAATTAACATAGTTGTATATTTTTCAAAAAATTCTGGTGAAGTCCATAATAGAATGTGGTACAGTTGTTAAAAACCTAATTTTTGAAGAATTAGGTGAAAGAAAAGGCTCACAATGTGCTCTGTAATTTCTTTTAATGTGGAAAATGTGAAGATTGTGTCCTATAATTTGCTGATGCCCTGTGTACTCCCTTGGTTGTAAAGCCATCCGAATCCTTGGTTCTCTTTATACTCCGAGGTGCAAATGACTAGGGTGTTTTATAAGCTCCACTTACTGTACACAGCCTATCTGATAGAACCTGGTCTGCTAATTCCTTCCTTGTAAATGTTAAAATCACTTCCCAACAGGGGAAGAAAAAGAAAAAAAAGTTTAATTGACAAAAAATGAAAAGCTATTTGCTGCTGCTAATGTGTATAGTAATGTCTTTGCATGGTAATTGTGTAGAAAAAAAAAAGCTATTTGCTGCTGCTAATGTGTATAGTAATGTCTTTGTCTTAACTGATATGCATGGTAATTGTGTAGAAAAAAAAAATGTTATACACTGTAAAGATATATGTGATTAAATGTAACATAAAATTAATTAATTTTTAAAAATTACTCCCCAAAACAAAAACAAAACAAAAGAAAGAAAGAAAAGGGAAAAAATGCTCACAATGGAATTAATAGGTAAAAAAAATGAAAAGAACAGAACAGCGGTGTGGTGATTAAGGCACCTGGATCCCACAGGGCGGACTGTGTAGTTTGAATCCCAAATCCAGCAGCTTGAAACACATGCTGGGACACATGTATGTGTCCATAATCCCAAGAGGGAGAAGTGGAGGAGAAGAGATTGTGGTGTAGCCATCACCCAAGGGGGTGTTTTTTCACCTTCCTTCTACCTCTTCTGTCTCTCTCCAGCAATCACATGTGCTCTCTGGCAAACTTTAAAATAAATAGAAAAAACAGAATAAATATTTAGTATGATCCCAATTTTATTCTAAGTATTTTTCTATGGCTAAATAAGTAAGTATATATGTAAGAAATTCTGGAAAATGATGACAAAATATTATCTAAAAGTTGTTTTCTCTGGACGATGGAGTTACAGTTAAGTACTGTTTTCTTTTTTCTTTTTTTTTTTTTTTAGATCTGATCTTATTTATTTCTTTCTCATAAAAATCTTATTTTTGACTGGATTCAGACTTAGAAGTAGAAGCTCTCAGAGAGGACAGCCTGCGTCTCTTCAAAATCTGTTCTTGGAGTTTTTCTTTAGCCTCCTTCATTCTCTTGGCCAAAAGTTTAGCATATTCTGCTGCCTCTTCCTTTTTTTTCTTAGTACATTGTTTCTTGAGGGCAATACGCCAGCGTATTTTGTGTTGCAGGACACGGGGAGTCACAAGACGCTGAATCTTGGGTGCTTTGGTCCTAGGTTTCTTACCTTCTTTATTTAAGGGCTTTCTTACAACATGTTGGCGGACATCATCTTCTACAGAGAGACAAAAGTTTTCGGATTCTGCTAGCTCTCTTAGGCCCCAGACGACAAGGCACGGTAGTATCAGTCAGTCCTGGAATATCCTTCTCTCCTTTTTTTTTTTTTTTTTTTTTTTTTTTTTGGGGGGTTTTTTCTTT